TGAATAGAACAATGGAATTCATTTCTAACATCTGACTGAAACTTTGTACTCTTTGACTAGTTTTTCTACTTTCTCATTTGAAACCCTTTCCCATCCCTGATAATCATCTTTTTATTTTGTAATTGTGAGTTCAATTCCTTTTTGATTCCATATATAGATTAGCAAGTACTGTGTTTCTCTGCCCCTTGCTTTTCCCCTAAACATAATGTTCTCTGGATTCAATCATTTTGTCAAAAGTGACATAATTTGTGTTTTCAAAGTTCAAAGAGTATTGATTTGTGTAGTTACGTGAGAATTTTAATGTGTCCACTCACAGATGAACATCTAAGTTATTTCCATATTTTCATGACTGTGAATAATGTTTCAATGAACATAGTAGTATTGATGTCTCTTCAATGCACAGATATTAATTCTTTTGTGTATATTCCCAATCATAAGAGTGTTGATTTATATGACAGATTTACTTTTAATTTTTTAGAAGCTTTCATACTGCTGTCAACAATGACTGTACTGATTTATCATCCTATCAAATGTATAAAATTTCCTTTACTTGAACATTCTCTAGACACTTGTTTTATTTATTTAATATGTTTTAAGTTAAAATATAACCATACCCATAACATTTCCCCCTTCTTCATCCTTTAATATATCCTCTCTCTCTCCAATCTCTCCCATGCCCCCATCTCTCTCTCAAATTGATAACCTCTTTTTCTTTGATTATTACCACTTTGCAATGAATAACTAGTTAGACAGTTTGTCCCTGGGTGAGGCAAATTTTCCCACTCTCAGCAGTTATTAGTTGCCTGTAATTCTTTGTCTGGGGGGTGGGACTCTATCTGTATCAGTCTGTCTAAAATCTTTGTGTCTCCTTCTCTGTAATATTTCCTGAGCCTTAGGTATAGGATCTTTTTAACAGTAGCCAACAGATTCAAAGTGATATTTTATTGTACATTTAATGTAAATTTCTTATTATTGAAGATGTTGAACGTTTTCACATACATCTGCTGGCAACTTTTCGTTCAAAATTCTCAAATCTTACATTGGCAAAAAAAAAAAAAAAAGAATCGCAGATATTTATTTCCAACTTGATCAACATTGAACTAGAGGTATATATATTCAAAGTACAGTTGAAGTTATTCATGCCAATATTTCCCTAAGATACTAAAATATTGATTTAAAATTGAATTTATCAATTCAGAGTAGCTACACTTTCATTCTACTTAAGAATCTTTTAAGCCGGGCGGTGGTGGCGCACGCCTTTAATCCCAGCACTCGGGAGGCAGAGCCAGGCGGATCTCAGTGAGTTCGAGGCCAGCCTGGGCTACCAAGTGAGTTCCAGGAAAGGCGCAAAGCTACACAGAGAAACCCTGTCTCGAAAAACCAAAAAAAAAAAAAAAAAAAAAAGAATCTTTTACTATTTTTGCAGTTTTTATTTTTTTCATCAATCTCTACTGTGGAGGGCAAAAGAATGTTTTCACCTTCTTGAATAAATTTTGAATAAATGTCTTAATTAGCAGCAAATTACACTGGTAAGTAGATAATTGTGATAAACCAAACCGGTAGATTTATAAAATTGAGAGAGTAGGTTTAGTACAGTCTGTACTTTTTTACCTTCTTAAATTTATACTTACTTAAAATAACTATGAATTTATATGTGTGTACACTTATTAATATGCTACATGTCCCTGCTAGGTTTCATGTGCTTATCAGTGTATTTTTGTAGTGGTGGAAAATGAATATTATTTTGTAGAGAATTTTCTATTTTAAGTTTTTAAATGTTTACCTATAAGAGATAATTTGTTTCATCCTATGTCAATGTATGCATAGCTTTCTCCATTTTAACAAATACATGTATACAATCTACATTGCAAGATATATATTTGTGAAATATTATACTGAATCTGTACCCAAAAACTTGGGATTGGATTTTTCTGTTACAGTGAAACTTCTAAATTCACTTCCAAGTTCCTTCTGGCTTTGCCTATTTCCAGAGTGTTAGAAATTAATTTTAACCACACTCCTTTAAAAATTTAGACATCAACTTACATAAAACTTTAGATATATTAATCCAAATTAATGTATACAATAATCTGGTATCATATTTCCTCATTTGTAAGAGTGTGTCCCTCTAGTTCAAAGACATCTTGGTCTTTAGAGAAATAAATTATGCAAAGGCAAAAAAGAAGAAATTAAATTTAACTATAGTCCTTTAAAAATTTAGACATTAAGTTATATGAAACTTAGATATATTAGTCCAAATTACTGTATACAATTCCAACCTAATATTTTTCCTGCTTTGAAAGCAAGGTACTCAAAAGTGGAAAATAGTTTTAGAAGAAAGAGATTCCACTGAAAATACTATAGAACTCACATGGGTACCACCACACACACTTAGAGGTATTTTATTTTAAAGTCTACTTTTTCATATTTTCATGTAAAATAAGGAAATAGACTGCGAATTAAAAAGAAGACAGTCTACTTTTATTATTTATGGTTACATACAATACATATCTTTAGTTTTTAAAATTAAATGACAGCAGTAACCAATTTTGCATTATTATATATTCTTTCTTTTGTAGAACATTGCTAATGCTTCTATAATATGTTACTTCATTCTACATGATGTTATCTTGGAACTGAATTTAACTAAAAATATGAATTTTTATTTAGAGTACCAAAGCTATAGCACCTTTGGCAACTTGCTTCTAGGTAAGAATAATCTTATGCTTAATTTCACCATAGTGGTAAAAGCACATGCAAGAGGGGAGAAAAATCACATGACACAGGAAGTCAGAGAATGGTTAGAGAATCAATCTTGACAGTTTGTGTTTTTCTATTTCATAAACTATTGGATCCTATGACAACTATGTTAATTCTTTCTAATTATAGGTTCTCTAATCACTTTACTCCCATAGTTCCCATTCCTTCAGATTTCTACTATTGCCCCCATGGCTACATAGCAGAAGCTTCCAGCACATGAACTCTAATGGGAGAACCTACCTTCAAACCTTAGCATCGTTTGAGCCAAATTGATTGGAATTCAGTACTTATTCCTGTTACACATCATGTACACATCTATTAAAACTCTTCCATCATTCTATCTGGTATATACAATTTAATTTTTCTTTGTGCAGCAATGTATTTTATGTATAGTGGGTCTAAAATGTATACCACAAGTCCTAGACGTTTACTTAGAATCTTACATACTTAGATAATGAGAAAGGATTCCAGATATAGTTGTCTGCACACATTGGCCATATGAAAAGTACTATTTGAGATTTTATTTGGTTATTGAGAGTTTGCGTGATGAGTACTCTTCACAAACTGTTGAAGATGTACGACTACAGATGTTAACATTAGGATTAAAGAATCTATGGGAAAATAGTTTAAAATTTTGGAGATGAGAATAAATTGTCCATAACTCATAAAATGATCTCTATATCTGATCAATATGTATTTAGTGACTTTTGAGTATCAGACAAACCGGAATTAGCGAGAGTTCTCTAGAGAAGATAGCTAATAGAGTACATGGTGGGAGAGAAGAGGCTAGAGTTTCCAGATCTGCAACAAGGAAGCTGGAGAAGCATGTGATCTGATGCTGTAGTTCAAGTTTGAATGATTTCAGGCATGAGTCCCAGGAAAAGGCAACATTAGTTTAAATCTGGACAAAGATTCATGCATTCAACTGGTTAGATGTGTCACACTGAATTATTCCAATCTCTTTTACTCACTCTGTTAATGTAAATATTAAACTTACACTGACATCCTCACAGCAACAGCCAAATGAATGTCTAATCAAATATCTGGGCATTTTATAGCACAATCAATTTGCCATAAAATAAGTCATGCTTACTAAAGCAAGATGGAAAAGGGAAAGTTGCAATTAGATTTATACACAACTGGAGATTAACCCTAAACTTAGAAGAGTAAATTTCCTTCTCTAATTTCTTCTTAAAGCCATTTTGCACTGGTGTTGGTAGATGCTTAGAAATCATTTCAACTTCTCCCTATTATAGTGACTTTACCAGGGCCACACAACTTATTAACTACAAAATTAAAATTCAAAATCTTTCAAATTCAATATTGATTTTAAGGATGTGCTAAAATAAGTTCCTTTTTATTAATATGAGTGTAAACCACAAGATCTTTGTGTACTTGAAAATAAGTTGCACCGTGATGTTAGTGTTATGCTATTGATATATGCTTGTTTGAATTAGAAGTATTTGCCTTGGCATAAAATAGTCATTCTGAATCAGATGTCAAAGTATTTTGGATACTACTAAAGAGTGGTGATTTTGAGTGAATTTAAAACATGCCCTGCTGCATCCTTTTATAAAGACTTCTGAACAAAGAAAATAAGCCTTATCACTGCCTGTGAAAGTACAGGGCATGATAAAGAAGTGTTTATATAGGCAAGAGGCCAGAATGATGTGTTCATTTTCAAGCTATGGACAACGAGAGAAAACATCTTTTTCAAGCTAACTTAGAAAAGCACTGTTTCTCCATATGTTAGCTTAAGTTAGTTACTATTCCTACAGCACTTAGTGGTGTGTGTGTGTGTGTGTGTGTGTGTGTGTGTGTGTGTGTGTGTGTGTAGGGGTGTGGGGGTGTAGTCATGGCTAATCAACATGGTTTTACAATTTTCATAGCTTCTATTTTCAAGTAGAATGTTTATCCAGAGGCGTTCACATTTTTAGAAAAGCTTTGCATATAATAACTGCAGATCTGCATAAGGGGACTGAGGATACGTCGCTTTTCCTTAATGAGCTATATTCAAATTTTACATAAGAAGAATCCAAAATAGATCATAATGAATTCACTATGACAAACTCTCCTGGGACAAATTGGCACAGTTTTGGAAGTGGGCTACTGAGGAGTGAGTATGACAGTGGGCGAGAGCAGGAGGGATGTAGAAGTGACCTTAAACAGGTTGCTTTTACTCACATGCCTGGGTTTATGTAGCAGCTATGCACTTTGGCATCAAAGAAGCTGGGTTAGATATTTACGAGTTCAGGCGTGAGGGCTGTGAGTTTGCAAATCCAGCAGCTGGAGTGTGTTTGTGGTAGCTGCTTTCCTGTGCTAAGCTGATTTACTTGTTTAAGGTCTGACCTCATCATCCTGTCAGTATGGGTTCCCACCTACACTGTTAGCGGCAGCTTTCTGCTTCAGCTAGGCTGGAAGTATTCAGTGTATCACAGGCAGAGGGGGAGGGGAGAGAAAGCAAGAAAGACTGCTCTCTCTCTCTCAGCACTTGTGCTTTTGTTAGTTCTACACAAGAGGCAGAGAAACAAGAGATAACAAAGGCTCCATTTCCTTTCTGTTAGAGAAGGCTTTTGTCTTTCCTCCGGCAACAATGTCAGTGTCCGGCAAGAAAGAGTTTGATGTGAAACAGATCCTGAGGCTTCGCTGGAGATGGTTTAGTCATCCTTCTCAAGGATCGCCTAACACTGGAAGCTGCCTTCAGCAGGAAGGATATGAGCATAGAGGGACCCCGGTTCAGGGCAGGTTGAAGAACCACTCACGGGACAGAAACGGACTGAAGAAAGGCAATAGTCCTGTCCACCACAATATACTGACGCCGGTGCCAGGACCAGCCCCTACCCATCAAAGAGTCCTCCAGAATTGGCACCAACAAAACGTGATAGTACATCTTCAAGCAAATGAAGATACTCCTAAAGCCGTTCCAGAGGAGAATTTGCTCAGAGAAGCTTGTGAGAAGCGCTCACGAGATTTGGAGATGATGGGTGATGACAATATAGAAGATTCTAGAGCACGGTAGGAGTTTTTGGTTATGTAAGTGAAAGCTTTAGCCTAGATTAACTTATTCTACAAGACTCTCATTTCGTGCTAAATAGAAGTGTTACAGTATCTCTGAGTTTGTGAGCAGCCAATCAGGGTCTTCAAGAAACCCCTGTCTCTAGTCTATGAAAGAACACTGTAATCACGAATTTGTTTTGATAATTAGTGAAAAGTTATTTTCCCTATGGTAGGTTTACTTCCTTTACATTCTCAATCCATTCAGAATTCTCTTTCGGTTTTAAGAGACATTCCTTTAAATGACTAACTTCTGTAGATATCTTAAGCAGCTTAGATGTTCTAACAGTGAGGATTGTTTAAACAAGTGCATTAAATCAGAACTCTTGCTGATTTTGTGAACAGAGCTAACTTTGACAAAAATAAATCCAAGCTTGAACTGCTGAGCATATTTTTGTTTACAGATTAGGACATAGTAATAGTTTTAAAATTGTGTTTCTCTTTAAATAAGAATATGTAAAATTCTTTAGCATTTGAGAGTCAGTCATTTCAAGTGGCATTACTTTCACAGCCGGTTTGTAAACAGAAATGTTCATTAGGCAAGTAATAAAAAGCTGCTCACATTAGCAGGATTTTAAAATAGAAAATGCCAAGTTTTTCAAGACATCAAAATGAGCTAAGAAAATGAAATGTGTATTTTGGAGTAGAATTCTTATGACATGTGATTTTATCCTAACTTGATTTCATCAGTAAGGTTTGAATGCAAGAAATGTTCTATCCTCTAGTATTGTCAAGTATAAGTAAACCTAGTGCATTGCCCATTGTTTTTGTATTGCCATTACCAGTTTTGTATTGTTAATTTGGTTAGGTCATAATTGAGTTTTGGAAGTGATGTAGAATAAAGAACCTGCTTTGATGTGTTGAAAAATCACATACTAATCTACAATGAACCTATACAAACTTCCTTGGAAATCTAGATACTTGACAGTGTGTTCCTGTTAAAGAATGGGATGTTTTCCTCATCATGTGGGTTTATTCAGTATATTTAGAAAATGCTCTCTTATTTCCATGAGTTCAAATCAGAATATCAAAAGAAAATAAAGTATATCAGCATTATGATAGAGAAAAATCACATATGCAAGATGACAGCTATATAGGAACTTGGTCTTAATGAAATGCAAAGGTTAAAAAATGGTGAAATGATTTTAGGCACAATATTAGATCTCCTGTAATATAGATCTTTTAAGACATCAAAGTGTTTCTCTGAGAGCATATGTATTTTTCTTTACTTAAAGAAAACAATATAAATATTAAGATTGAAAACTGAATTTAGCACAACTAAAGGACTTTCAGAGTAATATGCAAATAGTGTTTTTCAACTCAGAGAATTTTTCTCTGAGCTGTTCTCAAACATTTTAACTGACAATTTGAAGGTTAATGGGTATATTTAACTCTGCTATATACAAACTTTAAAAGTCCACTGTCATTTCTTAGGAAAATTCTTGGGTATCTGGGAATAAAATGAAAAGAATAGAGATGAGTCTAATAAATTAGATGCTAGAAGAAAATGACAGGTAGTTGTCCAGGCTACATTATGATTTTGACATTCCTTATGTTCCAAAGAATTTTTCTGATAATTGAATTTTCATAGGAAAGTTAGTATTTCTTAAAATAAATACAGGAAGTACTTATATGTGTGCCAAGACTATCAAGGCAGAAGGGGAGGACTAAATTGAGGAGCTTATTAGTTAAAACATTATGTCTTATTATCTTCTTACCGCCCATTATAAATTTCTGTTTTGTTTCAAGAGAGTTCAAAGAAAAGCTTTTGGATTTTTTGCTCCTTTAATTCTCTCTTCTGTATCAAGATAGCAGAACTGGAGGAAAAGACTGTGCTAAATTGGTAGCAGCCTGCCATATCCTTGATACAATTATTTTGACTAAAATGAAATAAAATAAAAACAGCAGTCAGCACGGAGAAATCATTAAACTACTATGGGTGAACTCTGATATCATAGCAAAGAATGCTTTCTATGACATTCCACTTTCTGTAAATATTATAAAAGTTGAATCCATAATGAGCTGATTTATAAGTGTCTAGTACAACAAAATAAGTCAAATTAATTCCCCAAAGATATTAAAGTCACTGTGCTAGTTTTATTAATATGTTGATATAATAAATTTAAAAATTCAAAAATATACCTACAAGCTTGGATCACAAGTATGTAGTATATTTAAGAATGGCTGTCATATGTTTAATCACTGTGAGGATGCATATATCAGTATTCCCATCATCAGAGTTCTGAATTCTTTTGTCATTTGATTTTTATGATAGTTATCTGCCAACTCTGCATCTTTACTTTTGAGTAACTACCTAGTTCAAGAAAAGATTTTTCTCTTCTTTGTTTCAATCATAAAGTTCCAATAATAAACATTTTAATATTACATTATGACTGTGCTAAGTTATAGCCATACTTAATTACTCCTAAATAAATAATTGTATTAATGTTTAGGTGGAAATTACAGTGTTAACATTAATCCACATTATACTAAACAACAGTTATTGAATAAAATGAATGTGACATGTTTATGGTATCAACACACATTTATGTTACCAACACACACCTTAGTAGAAAGCTTCCAGTTAAAGAGCTATTTAGTTTAAAGACATCAAAAGGAATGGGGTCCTGCCGCTGTCCTGTTGGATTTACAAGGTTTTGAAAAACTGACGACTCTACAGGTAAATTAATCTGTATATATTTCTAGTTTGGGAGTGTGAAATGAGACTCAAAATTCTGTCTTCGCTGAACACTTTCTATTTTACAAGTGAAATTTGCCTTGAAAAATTGTAGTTGTAATTGTAAATATCAATATAGAATAGGAAACCCATTTTCATAACATATACATATAAGAACTTATATTCATAGACAGAAAGAGAGGAGATAAACAAGCCAAAATATAACATTTAAATGACTGTAAGTGGTCTTAAAGAAAATTAAAGGGGAAAGAGTAGAAAATGAGGTTTTCCTTCAGACAGTGACAGGTTTTCTGAAGCAATGAGAGTTGAGCAGAGATTCAAGTGCAATGAAAGAGGCCAAGCTTCTGATTAACAAATACGAGGCAAGTGAGAGGTCACTGCCCTTGTTCCACAGAAGAGCCCTTAACTACTATACATCATTTTTCTGTGCAAAGCAGTACTACATGTCCCCACATAACCAATTGAATCAAGTACAAAATGTCCTCGGATTAAATGATGAACTAAAAATTTCACATTGCATTGTTAATTGTGGTGTTTTTATGATCACATTCACGGCCCTTGGACACAGAGGTGACTTCTCAGTCAACCTGTAAGGATGGTGGCATTGTGCTAGCTAGAGAACTGGATACCCTGCTCCCATACAGTATGTCTCATGCACAGAGGCATATGCCCTTTGTAGGAAACATAAACATGACAGTGTACAAGATTTTTTTTTTCAAAATATTCATGTAGAGACAAATTCAGTATGGGCTTTTGTTCTCTGTCCAAACCCATCTGTAATAGGGATTCTACTTAGAAAATATTTAAGCATAAGGAGAAACCTGAATTGAAAATGATGAAACTTGTTCTAATATTCTTTCTAATGCAACAAATAGGCAGCTATATAGTATTGGTAGGCAGGCTCCAAGAAAGTAAAACAGTGATTTCAATGACCCTATGCCTGAAATGTACTAGGTACATTCAAATACCAGTGCATCTTCTAGTAGAGTGCTCAACAGAAACAGTCAGAGGAGAGATGTTTTGACAGGTAATATTAATAAGATCAAAGTAATGCTAAAATGAAATGGACTTAAAAAATCATTGTTATCCTTATTTCTAGGTGTGAAATATGTTTTAAGAAACCAGTTTTAGATGTCCAAGTGAGTGTTATATCGAAAAGTGTAAAAGATGTCTTTTAATTCCTCATTAGTGTAAGGTTTCTTTAAAATGAATGTAAGTTGCAGGATAGGATGATGTGTGTATAAAACATCACCAGTACAACACTGATGATTACAGTTAGGGTATACAGGAAGCCTGATAAGTATCTGGGAGAAAAAATAAATTTATCTTTCATTTGTTTAAAAGCTATTTTAAGGTATAAGTTATACACTTTTATATTCATTAGAAACAAATTTTCATCTTAAGTAAATGACAATTTGAAAAGTGAAGGATTTGCAAGCACATATGAAGAAACAAAAAGAAAAAACAGTGCTGGTTTTAAAACTGGTAGGCAAAATAATGTTTACCATTTCTCATTTTACAACGAATATTATCACAGTTTATTTTGAATGCTAGGCTCAGTACCTAAAAATATAGTGAGATTGAATTGATCAGTGCAGTTTTCTCCTACAATAGACTCTCTGATTTCCATAATAAAAAGTTGTACTCTTGCATTTGTGTTCTCATACAAGCAAAATACAAATGCATCTGTTATCTGGAGTAATATACATAGTGCATGTTTTTCCAAACATACAAAAATATATTGATTTTTTAAAAAATCAATGCTAAAATCTATCTAGTGCAGTCCCAAGTGCCCCACTGTTTTCTTTTCCATCCTTTCCATGCATAAGCTTATTCTATGGTGTTCAAAAAATTAATAATATATAACATATGGATAATTTAGGGTTAAAAACCTCATGGATTTGGTCAGTGTTGCTTCAGTTAGCAATGACAACTCTTAAAGTGACCATGATCCTAAAAATTCAGAGTTTTTACTTTGCCATTAATAAAACGTCTTGTTAAAAAAAAGCATTTTTGTATATTAACAATAAATACTTGCAAATAATCAGCTAGTCCATAATGAAGTGTAGTGATTTATAGCAAAGGGACAGAGTAGCAGCTGATTTTGATGTGGCATACCTGAATGGTACATTGTTTCAACATTTACTGTATTCCAGGTACACTCACTCACACACACACACACACACACACACACACACACACACACACACACACACAATTTTTACATGATTTTCTTTCTCTCTCATTCTTTCAAAGAAAAAAT